TTTTGCCCTTTTAAAAAATAGACATTATGTTTCCCTTTCTCTAGTCCTCGGGGACCTCAACCATTTGTTGAGAGTTTTCAAAGATAATCACTAACAGTTCCGAGATTGCTTTGGCTAGTTCCTTAAGTACACTATAATGAATTTCATCAGATCCTGCCAATTCGAATACACCTTACATATCTAAATATTCTTTAACCTACTCTTTCCTTATTTTGGCTTTGTGATGGATAAGAAAAGTGCTGGCAAGCACTCAGTGACTAAAGGGTTAAACACAGGTAGCTAGCAAAAGAGTTAGCAGGGGGCCAGAAGAACCAGTGGGATACAGTGCTGAAATTTGAATTGAATATAGATACCTAGTCTGCTCTTCCTTTGTGTCTTCTAATCTAAGGGAAGAAGGGAGTAGATGCAGTAATCAGAATTACAATGCTTATAAGAAATATTGGACATGGGAGTGAACTGGGCCTTCAAGTACGGATTAGCATGGATCCTGAGTAAAGGGAAAAAGTGTAGTTAGTCGCGATCACGGCATTGTCCTTTGTTTTGGTTGTTTGGTTAACAAACTTCTCAGCCAACAGACACCAATCTCCAGCTGCTCCGCCCTGAAGACAGTGCTGTCGGTAGTAGTACCACCCTCCCTTCCACACACCCCAGTTCAATAACCTTGTGACCATCCCCCCATTCCTTTTTGGTCGAGACCCCTACAATTACAACACTGTGAAATTTCAGATTTAAATAGCTGAAATAATGAAATTTACCATTTTCAAAAATCCTATCACAGTGAAATTGCCTAAAATGGACAGTGAATTTCATAGAATCATAGACTACTAAAATTGGAAGAGACCTCGAAAGGTCATCAAGTCTAGTCCCCTGCCCTCATGGCAGGATCAAGTACTGTCTAGATCAACCCTGATCAATGTCTATCCAACCTGATCTTAAATATCTCCTGTGAAGGAGATTCTACAACCTTCTTAGGAAATGTATTTCAGTGTTTAAAAACCAGAACAATTAGAAAGTTTTTCCTATTGTCCAACCTAAACCTCCCTTGCTGCAATTTAAGCCCATTGCTGCTTGTCCTATCATCAAAAGCCAAGTAAAACAAGTTTACTCCCTTTTTCTTGTAACACCCTTTTAGATACTTGAAAACTGCTATCGTGTCCCCTCTTAGGCCGTGTCCAGACTTAGGGGTTTTTTCGGGAAAAGTAGCCTTTTCCCGAAAAAACTTCCCCTGCGTCCAGACTCAAGCCGCGTTCTTTCGAAATTATTTCGAAAGAACGCGGCTTTTCTTTCGATGGCGGTAAACCTCATTTCACGAGGAAGAACGCCTTCTTTCGAAAGTTCCTCTTTTGAAAGAAGGCGTTCTTCAATGTAAAGAGGCCGTCTTCGAAAGAGAGCATCCAGACTCGCTGGGTGCTCTCTTTCGAAAAAGCGGATTTCTCTTTCGAAAGATCCGCCTGCAGTCTAGACGCGATCTTTCGAAAGAGGCTCTTTCGAAAGATGCTTTCGAAGGGCCTCTTTTGAAAGAAGCCTGCAGTCTAGACATAGCCAGAGAGAGAAAGAGAGACAGAGCGAGAGACTGGAGGCTCAGGAGAGAAGACCGACGTGGAGGAGAGACCTGAACATCCTGTCTTATGACGGGCTAATTGGCTAGTTACAAAATAATGGGCTTGGTTGTTTTGAAATAAGGGAGGTTATTTCAAAATAACTTCCTAGTGTTGATCAGAGTAAAGTGAGCGACAGTATCTTCTGAGCCCTAGAAGGGTCCCTTAGATCAAGATTGAAGCATAGACTGGGGAAGCTTACCCTGAGCCATCCAAACTGCACACATTTTGTAGACTGAGCAAATGCCATTCTTCAAGATGTCAGTGGAACATTGCTCATGAGAACAACATTCCTCTTTTTTTTTTTTTTTAAAAAAAAGGATTCACTATGTTGGACATCCAGCAAACAACAAACTTCTTGGTGAAAACCAAAACAAAGATATGGTTGAGCACCATTTCTAAGTTTCCTATAACTGTTTCTCCCTTCTCACTGAGCAATGGGCCTACCCTGTCCTTGGTCTTCCTCTTGCTTCTAATATTTGTAGAATGTCTTCTTGTTATACTTTTTGTCTCTGGCTAGACTGAGCTAATTTTGTGCCTTGCCTTTCTAATCTTGCCCCTGCATACCTGCGTTGTTTGCTTATATTCATCCTTTGTAATTTGACCTAGTTTCTACTTTTTATAGGGCTCCTTTTGGATTTTTAGTTCATATAAGATCTTCTGAGTCAGACAAGGTGGCCTCTTGCCATATTTTCTCTCTCTCCTGTGCAGTGGAATAGTTTGCTTTTGGGTCCTTAATACTGTCCCTTTGAAAAACTGCCAACTCTCTTCAGTTGTTTTTCCTTTTAGTCTTGCTTCCCATGGGACCTTACCTACCAGCTCTCTGAGTTTACTAAGATCTGCCTTCCTGAAATCCATTATCTCTATTTTTCCCAACATATGTCTGGATAGTTGAAGTCCCCCATCACCACCAAATCCTTGGCTTTGGATAATTTTGTTAGTTTAAAAAAAACCTTCATACACCTCTTCTGCCTGGGTAGGTGACCTGTAGTAGACACCTAGCATGACATCATGCTTCTATACCAATATTCCAGTCATGTGTATTATCCCACCGAGTCTTTGTGATACCAACTATGTCATAGTTGTGTTTATTTATTAGCATTTCAAGTTCTTCCTGCATATTTCCCATACTCTTTGCATTTGTATACAGGCATCTAAGATGTTGATTTGATTTTGCCCCCCAGTTATGCCTTGTCCTTCCTTTATCTCTGCTATTATAGCCCATGCTTTCTCCCATTTCTGAATCATTTCCCAGGTCTCCATGTTTTTCACTTACCTGTGGGCTTTAGTCACCTGCCCTGTAGAACCTAGTTTAAAACTCTTCTCACTAAGTTAGCAAGTCTGTGTCAAAAAATTCTCTACCCCTTCCTCAAAAGGTGAACCCCATCCCTGCTTAGCAGTCCCCCTTCTTGGAACAGCATCCCATGGCCAAAGGCCTCCTGGCAACACCATCCTCTCATCTAGGCATTCACCTCCAGGATGCACTTGTCTCTGCCTGGGCTCCATCCTTTGACTGGAAGGACTGAAGAGAATACCACCTGTGCTCCAAACTCCTTCACCCATACTCCCAGAGCCCTGTAGTCACTCTTGATCTGCTCAAAGTCACACCTTGCAGTATCATTAGTACTCACGTGGATGAGTAGCATGGGATATTAGTCAGAGGGCTGGATAATCCTCTACATTACCTTGGTAATGTCTCAGATACAGGCCCCTGGCAGGCAGCACATCTCCTGAGATGACATGTCAGAGCGATAGAGACACCTCAAAAGAGAGTCTCTACCCACCACTACCCTGTTTTCTCCTCACAATGGTGGCTGCAGACCTCTCAGCCTTGGGGGTACATGGCTTCTCCTCTTCTACTTTAGGGTGTGATTCCTTATCTCCCATATCCAGAACAGCTTAACAGTCCTCCACAATCACAGTGAGAGGACTGAGAGCAGAGGTGGAGTACTGCCTGATGCCAGAAGTGACCAGCTGCCAGTGTCCCCCCTGACACAGAGCCATCTCCTCCTCCACACAGTGGTGTGTCAGTAGTATTTTGTAATGGGGTAGCTTCCTCAGCCTCAGTGGTCTCCAGATGAGTAATTCCTCATGGATTTGGATGCTCTTCAGCATAGTCACCTCCTCCTGTAGTTCTCCCACCTGCTTCCTGAGAGATCCCACCAGCAGGCACCTTTCACATTTGATGGTCTCCCCAGTCTGGATTACAGTAAGTGGGAATTGCAAGCCACAGTCGCTGCAAAACCACACTAGGATCTGGATAGAGGCATCCATAGTAAGGTGGTCTGTCTGGCTACAGGCGCAAGTGGAAGCAACAGAAGAATTGTTGGTATAGATGTTGCGGGTCTTCCTAACCATGTTATGATTAATATTTGGTAGGCCCTAATTTATATGGCTAGAATGCCAATGTCTTACTGTTATTTTTGACTATCTGTATGTAGTGCCATACAGCTGAACACCTTTGCTGTTACTGAGAAAGATCCTTTTTAGCCTAATCTTTCTCTCACTGAAGTCAATGATAAAATCACTGACTACAATAGGACCAAGTATGAGGGCCCATAGTGACTACTATGCCTTCCTTATTCTTGATATCAAATTTCTGAAAGTTTTTGCCCCTTGAAGGGATGCAATTCCCAGTTGGGGGATGGCAGTGGTGAGAATAAGTATAAAGTGGAAATCAGTGAGGAGGAGAAGTGATGAAAGGGGGTTGGGATGATAGAAGCAGAAGAAATACTCTTCAACACATGGCAACTATATTTAAGCATGCTAATTAGGGATCTTACTGGTTAACCAGTTAAACCATTACCCAGTAAGCATCACCCATAATGAGTGATGCTTACCAGGTAATAGTTAAATGGTACTCAGGAGCAGCCCCCTGCCTGCAGCCCAGCCATGGGAAGAGAGTGGCTGCTCCAGCACTGCAGGGCCCCCTGTGGGGAGGCTGGGAGCTGCAGTGGCAGCCTCTGTGGGGTGGGAGGCATGGGGCTGCTCAAGCCCACCCCCTTTAATCATAGTGGCAGCACTGCATTTAACTGTTGAACCAAGTAACCAGAATTTTATTTCCTAATGCTAACTGTGCTGTTCACTCTGTAATGTTAAGGCAGAAACATTAACACTGTAACTTGGAAAAAGCAGAGTTCTTCCTCGTATCCACTTTGTGTAGGCTTTCATCTCCAGAACTGTCAGTGAGCACCTTTCATAAGCACTAACATAATTTACAAGATAACAAAAGAAAACATAAGGGTCAGAGCAGTTTGTGTAAGCCAACATTAATAGAGAAATAAGGTGGTTTTTTTAAAATTTTGAATTTGAAAATGTGGTTCTGTTTCATTTACAAAAAGTGCCAGCAAATGACATTTTAGTTTGAAATGAATTGTAAAGTTAATAGCACACTATACTTACTTAGACTACTCAGTTGTCTAATTATATTTGCCAAGGAGATATTGGTGACACATTCCAGTTCATTCTTGATGCCTCTGGGCAGAGCTGTGTGACACAGGTGCCTGGGGTCTATGTTTCTTTTCACTAATGGCATTTTGAGATATCAGAGGGTTATAGCACACCTGTGAAGAAATTAAACAAAAGCATGATTATAGCATTCCTTAATTATTTTTGTTCAGATCAATACATCCAATCAAGTCATTAATACTGACAAGTTTAAAATTAGGGATGTTAAAATGCATTTAATTAAGTAAACGTGTAACCATTGAAAATTTCAGTGGTTATGCAGTTACAAACAGGGAGAACAGTCAGATCCTCAGGAGCCAGAGCACATGGGAAACACTGGCTCCCGCCTGCCTCCCCGCACTGCTGCCTCTGATACATGTGTGTCCCAGGAGCCTGCATGTACCTGTGAAGGTTAATCAATGAGTCCTGGCCCAGAGATCGAGGCTGTGGCATCAGGCTCCTAGGCCATGGTGATGGGGATCAATGCCCACATTCCGAGGAATGTGGATGTTCTGTTGCTTTGGAAGGAGATCCCCTAATCAACTTGTCCATAGAGGTCTGGGCCATAACTGGGTCCTTTGCCTGGCTTAGCATCTGCTGTACCGGCCCACTTACTTGATTCTTGGCCATGAGGGCTGTCTGGTATCCAGGTGGCCCTACAAGGGGTTTGGATACCTTGCCACTCCTAAGCATCCCCTTGTAGGGTTCAGGGTCTGTCCACAGCAATACCCTTGTGTAGCTCCAAGGCAGGCATGTATCCAAACACAGGTCCTTTGCTGAAGCCCCCTTGTCCTGTGGTGCTGACAGATCTTTGGGCTTCAGCCACTTCTTGAGCACCAGTGAAGGGGAAAGATGCTGTGCACTGACAGTGGAATACGAGGTATGGAGCCCAAATGAGAGGCTCCTTGAAAAGCTCCTCTACCGCCTTGAACTTGCATAAAGGCTAGTCACAATGTGATCCTTTATGTATTGAGTTAATACAGCTTGAGCCTCTCTAATCCGGTACTCTCTAGTCCAGCAACATTCATGGTCCGGCATGATTTTAATTAGTCAGATGTCTACTTATCATGGGTGGCTAAATTTCCCACAGTCCCATAAGTGTGTTTATAGCCACCAGTCCTGGCTCTCAGTGTTTTCTGATGTTATTTAGCTCTAATTTACCCCTAAGTGTCTTATAAGAGCCCAGTAAGCAGTGGAAGTGATGGTAATGCTGCTAGACAATATTGACCTCCTATGGTTTGGCAAATTCTCTGGTTTGGCAACTGTCAGGTTTGGAGGGTGCCAGAGAGAGGTTGAACCTGTGGCCTTTAAATACAATGCTTTTGTTAAAATAGCCATTATATTCTGACATGTCTCTAATTTTTTTAAGCAGTAGAAATTCTTTTGATATGATTTTCCTGTTTAATTCCTAGTCCAACATATAATGGCAATGGTGAGAAAAAGTGAACACTTTTTTTAAAAGTACCAATTTAATGAGGTTTGAATGAGCTACCTTTGAAAAGTGACAAATGGTCTGGTAGCACTTTATAGACTAACGAAACATGTAGAATCCATTATGTTACATGCAGGCACAGATGCTTCCTCTTAGTTGTTGAAGGCTTTTAGACACTTTTCTTCCTCATTCTTACCTTTTTCAAATGCCTCTGGCAGCTGCAGAGGAACCTCCCTGTGGCAATTCTATCCTGCACATGCACTAAATTTTCCAATACGAGCAACGCTGTTAAAAGGACAAGGATTATGTCAGTTTCATTCTACTCCTTATGCTAAGGGAACAGTTTGGGGATCTCATTGCTTTATGCAGCACTTTGGGACCATCTAAAAGCTATTTATATAGGAACTCCAAAGCTCTTCTATTAAAATAGGAGGGAATGAGATTTTTAATAATCTGTCCCCACCCTGCAAAAAAATCACACCACAACACTCATGGTTTAGCAAAAGAAATATAATGTTTCACCAAAAATTGTAAGTTTTAGTGACATAACTTTCAAAATATTCTACTCTGCTAGATTTGCTTGGTGCAAAGTCACACAAATTAGGGACACCATTTTGAACAGTGTCCTGCCCCGCACTCCATGGGAACCTGGCAGACATCCTGCATGCAAAGTCACAAAGTGAGAGGCAGGGTGCTGCTCGCTTCAAAATGGCATTTACCATCAGAAAATGGACAAAACCACACACGTGGTTTTGTCTCAGTACTGGACCTGGGACAAACTTTAAAAAAGCAAGACTGTCAAGCTTAAAAGTGGATGAATGGCTTGCCTATCATAAGCACATGCACAGGGACTATTTTCACTTGCAGAACTCGCCTGCAGAACTATTTCAAAAGTGCAAAGGGTGTGGGAAAATGTTAAATTGCTGCAATCTTGTCACAAATGAAAACCCCAATTGTCAGCATAATAGATCTCATTTTCTATCAGGGACAGTCAGACAGGAAGACTGGAAGGATGGCAAAAGTACATATAATTGAGAACAAAAATGCTCCACCTTTGCTGCATACTTGCTGCCCACAAAACTAATGGATATTTAATCTACATTTCAGTCTTATTCTTAGAAAACACATAGAATCTTCCATAGAACACAAGAGGACTTTTTAAATGTTACTTCTGATTAAGTTCTATTTGGGGGCTATCAATCAACCTTTGTAGTATTTTTTTAATGTTAATAAAAGTTATTTATCTATATCCCTATACAGTGTGCTGAAAATGTAGCTCAGAGTGTTCTTGCTTTAACAGATTTAAAGACATATTTTCTTTAATGTACTTTTGAGCCTTAATATTGCCATGATTCTTGCTGCCTAAGATTTAAAACATACTGTCCAGTAATGCCTTATAAGCCCCAATTTTCAGTCAATCATTCTCTGCTAACAGAATGCTACATTTCAAGGTTTGTGGCAGTCAAATTTAATATACATTTAAAAAAAGTAATAGAGTACATAAACAATCATTGTGTTTGCCTACAGAGTCACACACTTTCACTACTCAGATCCTTGCTTTATAAAGCATTTTGGGGATTGTCTGAAAGTTGCTAGCATATGAAACTCAAAGTTTGGTGTATGAAAACAGGAGGGCGGAATTTTTAGGAATCTACCTGCCTCCCTCCTCAAAAAAGTCTCAAACATAGTCCAGTATAAGGAATATAAAGTTTCACCAAAAATTCCCAAATTTTAGTTATTAACTTAACTTTCAAAATATTCTACTATATAAGTAGAAAAGTAATATTCATGACATTACAGGAAACTTAGCTGCCATAACTTTATTCTGAAATGTTGGCATTACAGCCTCAGATTTAGGTCGAATTCTGATATCCTGCTAGCATAGCTCCACAGTGGTAGTAACTAGATTTCAGTGGAGAAGGCAAGTGTGTAAACCAATGGTGGGCAACCTGTGGCCTGCAGACTGCCAGCTATGGCCTCCCACAGCTCCCATTGGCTGCAGTTCACTGTTCCTGGCCAATAAGAGCTCTGGGAAGCAGTGAACAGCAAGTCCTTGTGGCCAGTGCTACGTCCTGCACCTTCCATTGGCTGGGAGCAGCAAACTGCAGCCAGTGGGAGCTGCTGATGGCCGTACCTGCAGCTGCAAGATTGACAACCTGTCTGGCAATCCACGAGAGGCTTACCCTGATGAGCCACATGTGGCCTATGGGCCACAGGTTGCCCACCATTGATGTTAACACCTAGCTACGGTGTTCATTACTAAGCTATCACTGAAGTTACCTACATTATATCTGTCCACTCAAATTGGGAGTGTGTAATTTAGTAGTGTGTTAACTATATTTAAAAGTTAAAATTATGTGTCTAAGAAACTAGTACTGGGCTCATGCCCTTTAAATGCATACTACTTCAATTAGTGTTACTAGGAGAGTAACACTTTACATTCCTCTGCATGCAAGTATATAATTGAATAGAAACGAGTTCCCTACCATGCCATCTGTGGGGATTTGGGGATTTCCAGATCACTGGATTTCTCCTTATACAGGTGGGATGAGAGTGTAAAATAAGTGTAAATTAAAATTCGCCCTTCTGTGCAGACATATTAGGAACTCATATTGAGCACAAACTCTCAGTGGACAGGATATGTGGAAGGCAAACTTTGCATCAACTTCACTTATACATGCTACCTCAAGGCTACAATGGGCTTTTACAATGTGAAGAATTCTGCAGGATGAAGGACTTTACGCTGGCCCTCTGTAAACAGTAAATGCTGAGATGTGTGCTAAATGTCCTTCTTACCCTTGCTATTAGGATGAAGCATTCAGCACAAAGCCCTCTAATTCTTTAACAACACCTGCAAATGATTAAGGTGAGATAAATAGCATCCACACTTTGCCAACATCCACACTTTTGTTAAGTGGGAATGTTATTTGTTGCTATTCTATTACTCAGATTACTTTCTGGACTGAAAGTCTAAATATGGCTATGTTTTTTTTAAAAATCTATAATTAAAGAGGTTTGTCTCTTTTTTCATTTCAAGATATCTGTATCTAAACCAGGCAGCAAATGAGCTTTAATTTTTTATGCAATAATTGCTTTTAATAATATTATCTTATTCAAGTTCTGTACCTACTTTATGTTATCTACAATGACTTTAAAGATTTTTAATACAGAAATAAAAATAATCAACTATTATCAGCTCCCATATGTAATTAACAAAATGCAAAAATGTACAGATTTACTTGGTGTCTAGCTTGTTTAATAGCTGTAATTTGTTGATTTATTTATTTACTAGCGGGCTGCACCCCGTACTCACTACGCTTGCCAACTCCCTTCTTAGCCGGGGAGGGCTCTTACCTTCTTGCTTCCGGGAGGGTCCAAGGCCACCCCAGCTCCAGCTATCCCCCCCAAGAGGCTGAGGCAGCCCCAGTTCTCTCTCCATGGCCACCAGAGTGGAGTAGGGAAGGGCTGGGCCGAGGCCTCACGGGGCCAGGCCCAGCCAGCAGGGGCAGGGAGCAAGTCCAGGCCAGCCCTGGATATACGACCTCTCCCCCCTCCCCCCCCCAGCCTCAGCAGCCCCTGCTCTCAGCTCCTGGTCACCATGGGGTTGGGCTGGGCAGAGGCCTCAGCACACTTGTCTCTTCACTTCCCTCCTCCCCCCCGGGGAATTGTTCCAAGCCCAGCTGGAGGCCATGTGGCTGCCACCCCCAGCACCAGGGAGGGGTGAGGCCAGGGGGCTCAGGGCGGAGGGAGGGGCTGCAGGCGGAGGGGGGGGGGTTGCAGGATGCAGAGTGATGCATGATGTCACTCTGTTGTCCCACCGGAAAAGTTTTTTATAGATAGGTAGATTTATTTATTTCTGTCTGTCTGTCTTAGAAAATAAGAGACCTGTTCATACTAAATCTTTTCATAAGGTGAAGCACTTACTACTTTTAGTAGCAGGACTACTTGAAAACAATAAAGAGCTAAGCTTGTAGCCTGACACTTTGACATCACCCCCAGCATCATACACAACTGTCACTGTTTTTTCCAATAAACTAAATTACATGTTGTGTTAAATACCAAAGTCAATAGAGAGCTATACTTCAATTTTAAACAAAATCATTTGCTTTCAATTAAGTACTTAAATCAAATTGTGAAATTAAAAATATATATTTAGCTATTTTTCAGTGAAAGAGTATGTAAAAATAATTTCCTAAAGCTAAAAACACCAAAGTTACCAAAAAAGAATCTTGATTTAAACCAAAAATAACTACAACATATTCAAATAAAAGGATACTCAAAATAGAATTATAAGAATAGCAAATGTTATATTGTACTACTTAGTTGATATATTGTTAGATAATTTTAATATGAACTTCTCTTCGTTCCATATTTGTGGAAGGAATTGCCTTTCTGGCCCATGACACACTAAATGTACAAGATGATTAAAAGGTTAGAGACTAGGTAAGCCACTATCATTATAATGCTTCATGGCCAAATGAAAAGATTAAACTCAGAAAATTGTAAAACACCGTTTTTTTCAGATATTGAAGATATCACATTAAACTGTAATAGAAACCACATAAAAGACCTTCCGTCGAAAAGTTTACTGCAAATAAAAGGGTTGAACTCCAAAAATGGGTACTAGTTCTAATTATGTTACTGGAGCAAGAATTAAAGACTAATTTAATTCATAATATACATGCAAATATTGTCACAAATATTTAAGTTATATACATAGAAATATATTGCACATACATGCAGTTTTACTGTTACGGTCTTAACCAAGAAGCATCTGATGGCTCCTTGCATTCATTCTTCTACTGCAACTTCTGAATATGTAATATAATTTTAAATGTTAATACATGCACAACTTCATCTCATACACACACACAACATCTTTGTATTAGATACATCATTTAACATTGCTACACATAACATACATACATAGACTTAAAAAGAGGACTGTTGTAGAGTTTTCTGGTAACACTACTAAAAATTCATCAGGCTCTCTCAGACCCATTATTTTTCTTCTAGAAAGCACATTCAAATCATTTGATTTCAAAACTTTATAGAAGCACCTTGTTTCTAATTTAAGCACAGCTCTGAACTAATAAATTAATTTTTGACTAAAAGTTCTTCTCCATCCCCATAAGGCTAAAAATGTATTAGGGATGTATAGCTTACTATGAATTTGAAATTGCTTTTTAAGACCTAATGTTTACCTGATGACATTTTTTTTCTCACAGCATTAATCTGTTCTTTCTGTTAGCAGCTTCTGCATACAGTATATCACACAAAAGCCCTATGATGGATCACAACAAAAGCTCTTTGTAATCTTGACAGAGACAGATAACTAATCCAGTGCCAATTTAAATCCAAAATCTCTAAAGCCAGAAATAAAGCATAACTTCTGAGATTCTACCAAATCTACCATTATATATTATCAATAATGAAGTTACACGGTGTGCTTATCAAATAATTAAATTAAATGAATTAAAACACACTACAATTCAATTCCATAGATACTCATCTATCACTTAAAGTTAGTGTACCTTTCAAATGCATATGCCAATTTTACAACTTGATTTTTAAGAAAAATTATTACAAAGACACAGACCTGTTCTAAAATGGGTAGCATTGTGCTGCAGTAACAATAAATATTTAAAGAAAAGGTACCTGAACTCAGCAGCTAAGAAATGTAAGGTAACCCTAGACAAAAACTGCTTGGCATAGAGAAGATATTCAGTTCCCACCTCCGCTACAGCATTAAACCTCACTGTTACTCATCGGCAATGTATCAACTTTTAGAATTCTACACACACAGAAAGCACAGTCAACCTAGTCAATCACAGAACTGTAGCACTATTAATCATACCGAACACCTCCAGTCATTGGATTGCTTTGAAACGGGCTGGCACTTGCACAAAGGAATTAGAATTCAACACACAGTGTCTTGCCTTAACAACAGAGCTATCTTTTACAAAGAAAACACAGAAGCACTCACCCCCAGTGACCAAAGACTTCCTTTTTTCCTCAGAAACGTGAAAAGAACCCCCTAAAGGCAGAACGATTAAGAAATAATTATTCCTTTGGTTCCAAGCCATAACTGCTAAATATTAAATTATGATATGCCAGAAATGAGGAAAATGAGTGGCTATGCTGGGGTGGAGAGAAGAAGAGGGAGGAGGAATAAGACAGTCTATGCAGCTCATTGCACTGACCTTACTGTTGAATCCAAGAAGGAAATTGGATGCTAATGAAATAATAAATAATGTCAGACAACTACAATAGAACTGAGCATACAAAAGTCTGTGACTAGAAAACCTGACACAACATATGAGCTAATTATGCTGTTGCTATATATTAATCCATAAGTGACATACAATTGTTTTAATTATTACAACTATTGCTTCAGACACATTTGAATAAACAGTAGACAGTGTCATAAAATTATTTTATTAAAGCTTTTCATGCTTGGATAGTTTTAAGTTTCTTTTAGAAAACACAAAAGATGTTACTTAAACAGATATTTATAAAAGGTGATCAATTGTTCTTTTCAATATTAAAGAAGTTCATAATTTTAGTAACAGCCTGTTAGCTTTCCAAAGTAAAATTTCTACTAAAATCCCAAAACAGACACTTTGTATTTTCTGGATATTTACAGAATATTAATATGATGATTACGGATAACTTTTTTTCAGCTTTAAGGAAGAGTTAAAATACGTCACATATTGATTCAGATAGGGTAATGATTTGCTCATTATCACTGGTTGGGTTCCTTTCTATATGGATTTTTCTACTTGCAAACAACAAAATTCCTCAGAAGGCGGGCTTGTTGCACAAGCCTGCCAATATCCATAAATAACATACTGCCTTGTCTACTGAATCCTGTTTTCTCTATAATGGTGACTCACATTTTAGTATTATTTAAAATGTCTGAACAGTGTTCTGTTGAAAAAAAAAAGTTAAATTGATAAAGTTTGTTTACTTTCAAGCAGAGATATTACTAAATATTCTAGAGCTCTGAAACATAGATTATTTATATTATTTAAGAATAGGGGTTGATCACTGATCCTTCAGTCCTTGCTAAGGCAAAATGCCCCAGTGAAGTCGAGGAATTTGATGGAGTAAGAACCGAATATTTCAGAGAAGTTAGAGGGAAGAAACTTGAAGATTATCCAATACATTTCCCTGTAAGTATAAGATTGTTCTTGACAGTATATTTTCTAGTGTTTGTCCAATCTAGTTTTCAGTGTCCTAAGTGACAGAGCTTCCAGCACTTCCCTAGGAAGATTATTAAAAGCCTAGTACATTTCTCTAGTAGGAAAGTATTTCTGTTATTCAGCCTAAATTCTCTCTCATGGGCAGTTCTAGCTCTTTCTTGGTTTTGTTCCTCTATCCTCCCATGTTTCACACACAATAATTTTTCTTCTTTATTGTTTACTACCTTCACCTATTTGTAAGCTTGTTATAATCCCCTCATTATCAGCCACCTAATCAAGCTATAGATGTTACTTTTTTTGTAATTTTTTTCCTCATAAATCACTTCCATCATCTCTGATCATTTTTATTGCTCTTCTCTGAACTCTCCCTAACCAATTAATATTTTTCTAGTCACATGGTACCCTGAAATTAAGTCCAGACTTCAGGTACAATTGTACTTGGGGAATACAGGTACCAGTTTGACAAAGCATCTACACGTGTACTGAAGTGCTTTGGTGAATAGGGATGACCTGCTGTATCAAAACTAATCAGAGACATTTACTTCTTTGTTTTGTGACATGGTGTCTATACATTTGAAGTTCCAAATCAATTACAAGTTTCAAACTTATGTTTCATTTGCAGTTCATTCTGTACTGTAGGTGCACTGCAGCAATTAGGTGCTAATTCAGTAAGGTTTTTAAATGTGTGCCCAATTTTAAGCATGACAGTTTTTCCATCGGCTTGAAGGGGACTACTTAGACTTGATATTAGATATGTGCTTATTAAGTACCTTGTTGAATAACGGCCTAAGACAGGTTTGCCTGTCCCTTTTAGATTTTTTTCCCCTCTACTAACGATATTACTTTGAAGTTTTGCAAGTCAAATCTCATTTTACTATTGTCTATGTTTCTAATTTGTGTATTTCCCTCCAGGAGCAGGCTCTTAGGGCCACACAGATAGATCTTTGTTCCTAGTAGCAGTCATATTGAAATTAATAACATTTCTTACAGGAGAGGGTTTGTGGGACAAGGGCCATAGCTTTTAGCAGGTAATTTACTTTGTGGTTTCATGCTATGGAGAGTCATTAGAACAGACTCTACATAATGTAAAGTCATTAGAACCTTTACAAGAAGGTACAAAAATTATTTATATCATTACTTTTCAGGCATAAACCAACTGAAATGAGCAATGTGGCGCCAACATTTGCATCTCTATTAGCACACTTTGATAGAGACACTTTTGACCTCTAACCAAGAAATGCAATTCTCTATTTATGTATGTTCTGGTACTTTTTCTTTAAATGCCTTTTTATCGCTTAAAATTAACTGTACATAACTTCTAGCTTTTAATTAGGGATGTAAAATCCAATTTGTTAACCAGTAAAACACTGTTTAACCAGTTAACTAATGGGGGGACAGAAGAACCGCTCCAGCCTGGTTGGAGTGCTTCCACTGTCCACAGCTGGGCTGAAGTGCTTTCTCCACCCAACTGCAGGCAGGGGCTGAACCAGCTCCCTCTCCTCATCAGGCGGGAAACTCCTCCAGTCCCCACCCATTAAAGGTGAGGCTTACCAGTTAACCTGTTAAACATTTACATCCCTACTTTTAACGGTCCTCTGAAGCCTTGAATTTACCAGGTCTAAGTAAAAACACATTGTAAAAATAGTTTGTATTCCAGATAAAATACACATCCCTTAATAATTTCATGGGATCTTAAGTACCTGCAAGATACAATCCTCCTATTTTTTCTTAGGTTTAAATACTAAAATTACTTCTAACCATCATTTACTTTCTGTGTCTAAAAATACATTTGAGAAATATCCATATTAGGGACGGCAAAATGTTGTAGATAAAATAAGCAATCTCATGAATTTCTTGAAATAAACCCGTACTTTTCTTTCGGTTCAAATCCTTCCCTAATAAATTTGGGTAAGAGCCTGATTCTGTCATGCCCAGTGAGTAGCTCTTACTTATGTGAGCAGTTCCAAATGAGCAAAGCCTCAAAGGGCTGTTCAACAGATACGTCAGTATCATGCCCAAAGTTTTTACATTCTTGTGTTTCCTGATTTCAGTCTGGAGTTTCCAAGCTAATACAAAATTACCTTTCTGACAGTATTTCAAATAGAGACAAAATCATGGAGTGCTTAAAACTTTGGATTGCCCCCCTTTATTGTTTTGATATATAAGAGAGAGTTACTCACCCTGTGCAGTAACGTCTGTTCTTCGAGATGTGTGTCCCCGTGGGTGCTTCACTCGAGGTGCTGGGTCTGTCCCGGCGCCGCAAAATGGAGAAACTTCCTTTGCAGTAGCCCTGCCGGCCCTCGCATGCGCTCCTGTTGCCTCGCGCCGTTCGCGCCATTACAGCTGAGTGCAGGCCGGCTTGTCAGTTTCCTCCCAACCGGAAGCATCTGAAACAGAAGCTCCGAAGCAGGGAGGAGGGTGGGTCGGGGAGCACCCACGGGGACACACATCTCAAAGAACAGACATTACTGCACAGGGTGAGTAACTCTCTCTTCTTTGTTGAGTAGTGTCCCCGATGGTGCTCCACTCGAGGTGAGTACATAGCAGTGGTCCAACACTATTGGCGTGCTTTGGACTTATGATCTCTGTGCTGTGGCCAAGACTGCTTGCGCCACCGCTGAATCATTCCTCAATATTTTCGCAAGAGCATAATGCTTGGCAAAGGTAAGAGAGGATGACCAGGTTGCTGCACGGCATATGTCCTGCAAGTGTACCCCTCTAAGGTACGCAGTAGATGCGGCCATGCCTCTGGTGGAATGAGTGTGAGGTCATCCTGGCAAGGATTTGTGCCGTAGGGCATAACAATATGACATATATGAGGTGATCAAATTGGAAATACGCTGTGTGGAGAGCTGTTGACCCTTGGAGCGCTCCGCCGTAGCTATAAAAAGGCACCAAGACTTCCTGGAGGCGCGTGTTCTATGCAGGTAGAAGGCCAGTGCCCGTCTAACATCGAGGGTATGTAAACGTGAGTCTTCTGGCGAGGAATGGGGCTTCAAATAGAATGTTGGCAGACTTATGGGCTCGTTTATATGGAAGGGAGAATTTATCTTCGGAAGCAAGGGGGGGATGAACACGAAGCAGAACCCCTTGTTCAGAAAATAAAGTGTATGGTGGATCGGCTGAAAGAGCCGCCAACTCACTAACCCGACGTGCTGACGTGATTGCTAGAAGGAAAGACACCTTCATTGTGAGCATGCGCAGGTCGCTGAGATTGCTGCCAAGTGCACTTTCAATGAAGCGTTCGCTAAGCCCTCCATCTTCAGATGGAAGATGTAGTCCAAAGTATGCTGCACCGGTAAAGAAAGAGGGTCCAAGTCCCTTTCCAGACACCACGCTTGGAACCGGTGCCATTTGTAGGTGTAGGCCTTGCGAGTGCTATGGCGTCTGCTATTCATCAGTACATGTTTCACTTCCTGAGAGCAAGTCATTTCCGGTGGCTGAAACCAGTTAGGAGCCATGCCGTAAGATGCATGTGATCAATGCTCGGATGCAGCATTGAACCGTGCCGTTGAGACAGTAAGTTGGGCCTCAGTGGAAGTCGTTGTGGCTGAGCGACCAACATTCTGGACAATTGTGTCAGCCAAGTCTGTCGAGGCCAATAGGGTGCTATGAAGATCACTGTTGCGCCCTCCGTCACTATCTTCTCCAGTGCCCTTGGAATGAGAGGACGAGGCGGAAACGCGTAGAGAAGTTGGTAAGAGCCCCAATTGAGCAGAAGAGCATCCCCCAGGGAATTCTTGCCGGTACCCGCCCATGAACAATACTGATGACACTTTTTGTTGTGATGAGTGGCAAAGAGGTCTATACTCAGGAACCTCCGGAGATGGAAGAGACCGTGAACCACTTCGTTGTGTAACTCCCACTCGTGCTGAGTAAGAAAGTGTCTGCTCAGGGTGTCAGCAATGG